AACAATAGATAAATGTTTTTCTGCATAGTATCTTCCCTCTTTAAAAATATATATGATGCTATGGGGCGCCTGGGTGGCGCAGTCGGTTGGGCGTCCGACTTCAGCTCAGGTCACGATCTTGCAGTCCGTGAGTTCGAGCCCTGCGTCAGGCTCTGGGCTGATGGCTCGGAGCCTGGAGCCTGCTTCTGATTCTGTGTCTCCTTCTCTCTCTGCCCCTCCCCCCTTCATGCTCTGTGTCTCTCTGTCTCAAAAATAAATAAACGTTAAAAAAAATTTTTTTTTAATATATATGATGCTATATATATGCTATATGCTACACCACGATATACGCTACAAGGTAAGATAATACAATATAAGTGTTACTAATGTCTGTACAACTTTAATACTATTTATAGTTATTATTATTAAAAGATAGCTGATAAGAGACTGCAGGAATCATACCTACTGGAGGGCTTAAAATTCCTTGTTTAGTGTAAGTTATCCAGGGTAGAGGATGGATTTTGACTGCAGAATCTTTATTATAAGTTCAAAATAAGAATTACACTTCAAATGTTCAAATGTAAAATAAAATACAAGAAAGTGGGAAGCACACAGAATGCTTTCTGGATGTAAAAAACAGTTACAGCATTAAATGTTAAATTCCAGCCAAAAAACACTGAAAATATTAATTAGCAGCTAACATTATTTGAGTACATATATACTAAACATAATTTGTGGATACTCTTATTGAGTCCTAAATTCCTCAAGGTACAAGGTATGATTATCAGAACATATAAAATTCTTAGGGAAAACTTTTACTTCTGAGCAGCCTAAAAAAGAAAACTAAAAGGAAATTCCACCTTCTTAACTACACGTAGTGCAATTAAAACTGACTCATCCTAATACTATAGCACTTGAAAAGCTGGATCACCATTAGTAATCTTTATGAGCATCTAATATTGGGAAGACAGAAATAAGGACAACAAGCAAGAGGTCACATACGAGAACAGCATGAAATAAGGCCGAAAATGTAGACTAGAACAAAAATACAAAGTACCCAAGAAATGTAGGCAATCCTGTAGGCAACAGATAGCCATGAAGGCAATGGAATAGGTTCACTTGATATTGAAGTAAAAAAAAAAAAAAAAAAAAAAAAAAAAAAAAAAAAAAAAAAGTGAATCTGAGAAGCAAAAGGCCAAACATTAAGATCTCCTAAGAGGGGGCGCCTGGGTGGCGCAGTCGGTTAAGCGTCCGACTTCAGCCAGGTCACGATCTCGCGGTCCGTGAGTTCGAGCCCCGCGTCGGGCTCTGGGCTGATGGCTCAGAGCCTGGAGCCTGTTTCCGATTCTGTGTCTCCCTCTCTCTCTGCCCCTCGCCCGTTCATGCTCTGTCTCTCTCTGTCCCAAAAATAAATAAACGTTGAAAAAAAAAAATTAAAAAAGAAAAAAAAAGATCTCCTAAGAGTCTAAACATCCAACCAAGAAGAATAGAAATTATGAATGAAGATGTGTGGACTTAGGAAGATAGAAAAGATTGTCAACTCACCTCCTATATAACCTCTAATTTGACTAATGGGATTCAAAGAAAGATACCATAGGATTTGATAGCTGATTAGATTTAGTGGAAGGAAATTAGAGTTAGGAAAAAAATAATAGTTTTTAATATTTGAGATTTGAGTTGGAAAGACCAGGAGAATAACAGAACCACTGTAAACAGACACAAAATAAAATACTTTGAAATCACTCAAGCAATATAAAACCTCAAAATATTCCCTAAATTGAACCTGAACCAACACTGAACAAGAAGTCCAATTGTCTGGTGCCCCTGGTTATACATTTCCTGCCTGCTTTATGTAACTCTTTCCCCAACTTTTCATATCTACATCCCACCACAATCTGCCCTGTCACTTTAAGCCCAGGTTTCCTTATAAAGGAAGTATTAGTTTTCAAGCCTTTTGATACTGCATTCCTTCAGTTTTGTGGCACTCTAAAACCTCAACTCCGCTCACTCAAGACTACAAGACAAACATGTCAATTATATCTAGACGGTTACTGGGTGAGAGCAATAATACATATTGTTATGTGTTTGATATTGAAGAGCATACATAGACTCATGGGTGATCAGTGACATTATGACGTACAGCCACCCAGATCAGAAATCACCAAAGCATTTTAATCTAAACTAGCTTTATACAATGGCAAAAAAAAAAAAAAAAAAAAAAAAAAAAAAAAAAAAAAAACAACCCTAATCAAATGAAATTACCAACATTTCTTTAGGTCAAGTGTGTTCCTAAGTTTTAAAGATTTATTTTACACTCAAGCATTTTTATTTTAAACGTATTTATCTATGGGGGTGCCTGGTGGCTCAGTGAGTTAAACATCTGACTCTTGATTTCAGCTCAGTTCATGATCTCTGGGTTGTGAGATCAAGCCCCTCATTGGACTCTGTGTTGAATGTGGAACCTGCTTAGGATTCTCTCTGCCCCTCCCCTAATCATGCTCGCTTGCTCTCTCTCTCTCTCTCTCTCTCAAAAAAAAGAGAGGGGTAATTATCTATGTTTCTTCTCACTCATAAAGTATTTGAAGTCTCTTACAAGATGTAGCAAAAACAAGGTAAAAATTATATGAGGAAACTGGAGACAAAGAGAATACAAAGATGAGGTGGGGAAGAAAAATAAAGATAAAGATTAAAAATAAAAATATACGTCATAAAATCCAGTCCACCTTGCCACAGGAGGGCTGCAAGTTTGGTTCTGAGCTTCTTTAGCAATTAAAAAAAATGTAGAAACACAAACTCCAAGTTTGGAAAAGAGACATCAATTCCTCAGACTGAGACCTGAAAGAACTATTTTCCCCAAGGTGTTTACAGAGAGGATACTATGACAAAAAGTCCTCAACAACTGTTTCAAAGACACATGGTTAATTTCAAACATTTAGTTTATAATACCCCTCAGTATAGGACAACGGTTGAAACTT